TGTCTGCTATTACCAACGTACTTTGATCATGAATGGAAATATGTTATATTATTTTAAGTAATCCACGGATAGTTTTTTAAATTTTATTTGTTACTTTTCGGTAGAAATCTGCATGGTATCGGTAGATCGGTAGGTTCTTTGACAAATCGGTAGATCTACCGAAAAATCGGTAGACTTGGCATCTCTGCACATAATCTTTAGCCAAGTTGACTAGGGTCCATACTGAATATCTAGGGTATTTTTTACTTTTATGACGGCGACATTGTCATTTAGGTTATATTTATTGTTATTGTTGTCATTGACGTGTCCTACTATGGCCCCAAATAACAAGTATTCCATCCTGCTCCCCACATATAATGAGGTGGAGAATCTGCCCATCATTATCTGGCTCTTAGTGAAGCACATGAATAGCAGGTATATATTTCTTGTACCGTTTTATCGTATAAACCACCCTCTATGTATCTGAAGTGGGCACTCCTACGAAATCATTATAATTGATGATGGGAGCCCCGACGGAACTCTTGAAGCTGCCGAACAGTTGCAGCGGATCTATGGTAAAGAGAAAATCGTGCTGAGGCCCAGAGAGAAAAAACTGGGCCTTGGCACTGCCTACATTCATGGTGTAAAGCATGCAACTGGCAATTTTGTTATTATTATGGATGCTGATTTGAGCCACCATGTAAGTTCCAGTAGATTTTAATGGCTTTTACCTAATTTATCACTGATTGCAGCCCAAATTTATCAAAGAAATGATTGAAAAGCAAAAATCCAACGACTATGATGTGGTTACTGGAACCAGATATGTGGGCACTGGCGGCGTTTATGGGTGGGATTTTCGAAGAAAACTGATATCACGAGGCGCCAATTTACTCACTCAAATCCTCTTGCGTCCAGGTAACTTCAAAACTACCCAACTGGGAGTGTTTTTTTTAACGAAAATCCCGCATTTTGCAGCTGTTTCCGATCTCACTGGGTCATTCCGCCTGTACAAAAAGGACGTGTTGGAAAGCCTGACGAATAGTTGCATATCAAAGGGATACGTTTTCCAGATGGAAATGATCATTCGGGCCAGGCAGAAAAATTATACCATTGGCGAAGTCCCCATTAGCTTTGTAGATCGTGTCTATGGGGAGTCGAAACTGGGTGGCTCTGAAATCGTCCAGTTTGTCCGTGGGCTGGTGTATTTGTTTGCCACTACTTAAGCCCAACTGCCCAAGATTCCACTTATTTTTAAAGCTKTGTTTTATCTCCCTGAATGTATTTATTTTCAATAAAACCCGTTGGCCCATAGTAGCTTTATCCTTTTTTTGGTGAGCGTCGCTCACTTTCCTTCTTATGATGAATTATCTGCTGCATAGATGCCAATCGACAAAAAACAAAATACTMCGYTATTCGGCAATTTTCGTTATTGCGACGAAAATCGATTGGAAGTCATATGACTGTCACTGGGTTGGTCTGTTTCGTGGTTTTCTACGATCAGTCGCRCAGTTATTTTCTCTTGAGTAAAATTAGTTTTTCTCCATAAGTGGCTGAAAATGGCTAGTCAGACTCAGGGAATTCAGCAGCTGCTCACTGCTGAAAAGAGGGCCGCAGAAAAAGTATCAGAAGCCCGTAAACGTAAGTATAGTTCCAAGGCATCACAAGGTTTGGAGGTTTCCTCCCGGGGGTTCGCCCCCCCTAGGTTTTGCTGGTAATTTGAGGCCCCTCCAGCTCCTCTAACTTTCTGCAGAGTAGATATACGTTGCTGTGTTTAGAGCCCCATTTAGGCCACTTCTCAACAACTGCTCATATTTATAAAGGGCTTGATGTTTAGCAAAGGTTTTCCTCCATAGGCAAGGCACGCAGACTAAAGCAGGCCAAAGAGGAGGCCCAGGAGGAAATCGAGAAGTACCGCAAGGAAAGGGAACGCCAGTTCCGGGATTTCGAAGCCAAGCATATGGGCTCAAAGGAGGATGTTGCTGCTAAAATCGATGCAGACACCAAAATCAGGATTGCCGATATGAATAGGCTGGTCCAAGTTCAGAAGGCTGCGGTAATTGCACTTTTTAACTATTATTCCGTTCAGTCATGTGACTCTCTGATCAATTACGGTTTATGTAATAAGTCAGCTTTAATTGGCAATCACCGAGTTTCCAATTGACATACTTAATTGGCCATACAAGGGGAMATTTTTGGGAGTTTGATCAATTTTTATACGACCCGAGTCATGTGCTGGTTTGCTCACATGATGTACAGGTGATTTCGACTGTTTACTTARCTGTKGTYTACTTCTTACATCTAATAACRTTCTTTCAAKTKGCTGGAAAACCGTAATRTATTCTGGGTCTAAATTACCTAAAACGCATTTAAAACCCAATGATGTAGAGCAAATGCTAATTGGGGATGTTTGCTTYGGGATTTAATTAGGATTTTATGGGGATAATAGYTTCMTTCTTTTTTYACTTCCRTTGAAATTGTTCAATTATATTCAAAACATGCTGCTGTCTGCTTTCATCGCTTATTTGCCSTCMTTTCGTTAATTATTCCTTAKTRTACTTCGAAGGAGAGAAAATTTGATATAAACTGAGGAATTTTAATCACCGCCTTTAATTTCGTTTTATATAACATTGGCAAGTCTTTGATCAGCSCTTGTTGGATCTTGGTAGAGTCTTCTGATGTTGGGTGTCTTCAAGAAATTTCCGAATCGCTTTGGCCACTCCTATGAAGCCAAATTATCACATTCTTTAAGTTTGTTGAATTACTTGCATCGTTTAACCTCTTATTGCTAGAAGAAATTCACTGTTTAAACCCGAGAGATCATAATTCAAAACTACATTCTATCATGCACATTATTAAGTTTGGGAGTGTATCAAACGAATTTCGCCTTTATGGTGATTGCAACTCGTGCCCGAAAAAGTTACCAGTTTCAAGTAATGGACGCGAAAGCCTAATTCGTTTGATGAATAAATTACCGATCAATTTCTGATAAAATTATATAAAAAAAATTGTGCAATAAAATATTGATATTTTTAAATAATTTCCAGGTGATTCAAGATATCTTGGCTCTGGTTTATGATATCAAGCCCGAAATCCACAAGAACTACCGCCAGTAAACTATTGTTCAAGGCACGATGTACTTTTTATTTAGGTACTAAAAGCAACTAATTTGTAGATACTTAATTGATGTATTATCCTAACTCATTCCATTTTTTTAAATGTACAATGTATCCTTTTTTGCGCGACATGCAAGTGTACACCTTTTTTGATGTTCAGTTTACATTTTTAAGACAACCTGGCAATATTACACTATACGTACATATAAAAATGAATATCGATTGTTAAATGTTTAGACACGCGATTTCTTTATTGTCCTGTTTGTTGTAAGTCTGTTGTGGAATAAAAGAACTCGATGTTTTTTGCGCGTTTTGCTCAGCATTGGGGATAGGAAAGGCTTTGAATATGGTCGTTTCGGCAGTTTATTTGATCTGATTTAGCACATAATTACCTTAAATTATCAACACTTGTTGCGCCTATTTGTAAAGCGGATTAGCTTTACCAGATTATACTCATGCCCAATTTTCTCAGGTTAATTGCCGTGCCAAATACCTTGTCCCAGAAAATGCTGCTTATTCCAAACCCTGAAAAACTGATTGTATAAACCCTGAACTGACACACACACACACACACACAATGAATTGATAAGTTTATTTAAATTATTTCCACTGCTCTGATAAATAATGGGTTTTTGTATTACACAACAAATACTAGCACTTATGCAACACTTACCGCTATCATGGTGCGCAAAATGATGCTGATTGTGATACCGTTTCAGGTTGTAAAAGTAACTATTTTCCTTCGGAGAGCCATAATGCAAATAGAAATGAATCATATCATAAGTCACGTACCCTAAAATGTGAATGGTTGTGATAACAGTTACACATGATACTATAAAATACGCACAGAACTTTCCTTTATGAGCAGGAGATTATTGATTTTTTCGCTTTATGAGAAAACAATATGTGGCCTGTTTGTATAAGCAAATATGTACACGATTTTTATTAGGTATTATGTGTTTAACACATTGGTGCGTGTATTGCGAAATAACTGATTTTTCTGAGGAAAAGTCGCATCTCACACACATTGTTTAAATAATAGATGGATATTCAATTCCAAGTCAAATTCATTCCTGGGGTTCAGTCATTTATTGTCTCTATTTATCAATCAAAATACGTTTCGGTGTATTTTTCCACCATCATCAGTTTTTATGTGTAGCGTTGTTGCTGCTTT